TCTATGTTGTTGCATGGATTGATAGCTCACTTTTCTCATTGCTAAATATTATCCCACTGTATCAATGTACTACAATTTGTTTATGTATATTCACCTATTGAGGACCTCTTGGTTGCTTCCAGTTTGAGGCAACTATGATCAAAGCTGCTCTAAACATTCATGTGCAGGTATTTGTGTCGATATAAGCATTCAAATCAACTGGATAAGTACACAGGAGAACAACTACTATACTGAATGGTAAGACTATGTTCAGCTTTATAAGATATTGTCAAAGCGTCTTTCAAAGTAGCTGTGCCATTTTGGACTCCCACCAGCAATGAATAAGAATCCTGCTGCTCCACATTCTCACCAGCAACCGGTATTGTCAGGTTTGTTTGTTTGCTTTTTAAATTTTAGCCATTCTAATTGATATGTAATAGTATTTCATTGCTGCTTTGTCTCCCTGAGAATTAATGTTGAGTGTCTTTTTTATATATTTCATTGCAATTTGTATATCTCCTTTGGTGAGGTGTCCATTCAGATCTTTTGCACATTTTAAAATTGTTTTCTCTTATTGTTGAGTTTTAAGAGTTCTTTGTATATTTTAGATGAAGTCCTTTACCAGGTAAGGGTTTTGAAAATGTATCCGTACACTCTATGGTTTATCTCTGCATCCTCTTAATAGTGTCTTTCACAGGGCAGAAGCTTCAATTTTTAGTAAAATCTAACTTACCAGTTTTTCTTTCATGGATTGTGCTTTTTATATTATTTCTAAAACCTCATCAACAGCTCAAGTTCACACAGATTTTCATGTGTGTTTTCTTCCAGAAATTTTAGATTTTATATTTAGGTCTATGGTCAATTTAGAGTTAACTTTTCTGTCATGTGAGGTCTGTGTCTAGGCTCATTTTTTTTATGTATGAATGTCTAATTGTTCAGCACTATTTTTGAAAAGACTCATGTTTCCAATAAATTGCCTTTGTGCCTTCGCCAAAAATCAGTTGATAATATGCGTATATTTATTGGCTTTCTATTATGTTCCCTTGATCAGTGTGCTCATTCTTTCACCAATACAACGTTGTCTTGATAATGGCAGCTTTGTAGTAAGCCTTGAAATGTGACAATGAGAGTCCTCTGATTTTGTTCTTCTTTCTAAGAATTGGGCTGGTTATTTTGGTTCCTTTACATTTTCACATAAAATTTCAGAGTCAGTTTGTTGATTACTACAAAAAAAATTGCTGAGATTTTTATTGATATGGTATTGAATCAATAAATCAAGCTGGGGAGAACTGATAGCTTAAAAATATTTACTCTTTCCAATCCATGAACATGGACTATCTCTCCATTTATTTAGATTTTTTAAAATTTCTTCCATTAATGTTCCATAGCTTTCTACATACAGATCCTGTATCTATTTTGTTAGATTTATACTTAAGTACTTCACTTTTCTGGTGCTATTGTAAATCGTTTTCTTTTTTGTAACTTCAAATTCCAATTGTTCATTGCTAGTATATAGGAAAACAATTAAATTTTATATATTGACCTTGTTTTCTGAAATCTTACTATATTCACTTAGTAGTTCCAGGAACTTTCCATAGATTCTTTGAGTAGATTCTACGTGGATAGTCATGTCATTTGTTAATAAAAGCAGCTTTACTTTTTCCTTTCCAATATGTATACCTCTTATTTTTCCTTCTTGTTTTATTGCACTAGATAGGACTTCCACTACATTGTTGAATAGGAATGGTGAAAGAGGACACTCTTAACTGGTCCCAATCTTGGGGAACTGTTTAATCTCTCATTGTTATGTACCATTTTTTTTTATAAAAAAAAAAAAAAAATTCTAAATCTGTGTTGTTAGTATGTCTCCTATGTAAGCCACAGGGTTGAATTTGGCTTTGTTAACCAATCTGAAAAAAAAAAAGTGTTTTTTTTGGAACAGGGTCTCACTCTGTACCCCAGGCTGGAGTGTAGTGGCACAAACATGGCTCCCTGGGCTCAAGTCATCCTCCTGCGTCAGCCTTCTGAGTGGCTGGCACAACAGGCACGCCCCACCACATTTGGTTTTATATATATATATGTGTGTGTGTGTGTGTGTGTGTGTATATATGTATATATATATGTGTGTGTGTGTGTGTGTGTGTGTGTGTTTCTGTCACCCAGGCTGGCATACATGGAGTACAATGGCACAATCTTGGCTCACTGCAACCTCCACCTTCCAGGTTCAAGTGATACTCCTGCCTCAGCCTCTCCAGTAGCTGAGATTACAGGTGCCCACCACCATGCCCAACTAATTTCTGTATTTTAGTAGAGACAGAGTTTCACCATGTTGCCCAGGCTGGTCTCAAACTCTTTGCCTCAAGTGGTCCGCCTGCCTCAGCCTCCCAAAGTGCTGGGATTATAGGTATAAGCCACTGTGCCTGACCTGAAAATATATTTTAATTGGTGAGATAAGCTAATGTATAGTTATTGATGTGGTAAATATGTTTGGTGTCAGTATGCAATATTGTTTTATGTTATAATCATATATATTCATGTCTTTATAGGATCTAATTTATTTACCTGATTTTTTTACTCTTATTTAGTGAAGTTTATATTTTTGCTCTAATGATTATGTTATTTTAATCCATTTATATAATACTTATTTACTTTTTTCTTGGTAAATGACTATTGCTTCCCTCTAATGAGCAATATTGAAAGTAACTATAAGCCTCTTTTTGCCCCAACTCTCCCTTTTCCTCACCATCTGATTTGAAGTAATGTCCTTTTACTTCAGTTAATAACTATAAGGCAAACAAGAAGCTAATTTTACTTTCCATAGCTCTCCCCACTCTCCAACCATTTTTTATAGTTGTACTAAATCTATATTGTCAGAGCACACAATCATTGAATACTAGACTTATTTCTGTAAATAAATATTTTTACCATAAATCCTTACATCAAAATTTTCAATTATGTTGATTGTTTAATGTTCATGCTGTTTAGCAGATTCCTTGGGAAGGATCTGGGCAAAATAGTTCCTGAATTCTAATGTTTTCATTAGAACTTGTCTGTGACTTTTATAATTAAAGGTCAATTTGTCTTCTTATAAAATTTTTGACTCTTATCTTCTTTCCTTGTTTTCTTTAAACATTTTACTCTACTAAATTTTGACAAAATATTGATGTTAAAAAGTAAAGAAAATCGAATTCAAGAAAAGACATAAATAAGAATAAAGTGAGATGCTACATAAGAAAAAGTTTACAAAGAAGATACAATAGTCATAAATGTGAATGGCCCTAGCAAAAAATCCCAACATACAAAAGTGGGAACAGTTAAGAATTACAAGGAAAAATTGATAAGCCACAGCCATAGTGGGAATTTTTTTGCACAGTTTTGAAATGTGCAAAAGATCTAAATGGACACCTCACCAAAGAAGATATACAAATTACAACTAAATATATTAAAAAGGCACTCAACATTATTTGTCAGGGAGACAAATTTTAGCCATTCTATTATGTATCAATTAGAATGGCTAAAATTCAAAACAGAAAAAACTGACACCAGTTGCTGGTGAGTATGTGGAGCAGTAGGATTCTCACTCATTGCATAATAGTGAGCCAATGAATAAACTTATACAAATATTATAGACTTATGCAAATCTTCAACTGCAGACTGCTTTGTGTCTACCCCATAAGTGTCCTTCAGGGGTCAGAAGAGACGTGGAAGAAACTTACTGCATATAACTATTTGAAAAACACCTATCTGAAAAGGCTGCATGATGTATGTTTTCAACCATATGACATTCTGGGAATTTTTACTATGCCTCTTTCAGAAACTTATAAATCAAAAAGATCTTAAATTAATAAATGTATATAAGGTCTAAAAGGAATTGATAAACATAAATTTGATCTAACAGATAAACATTGAGAAGCAGGGAGTCTGTTTAGTATAGTGAATTAAGAGGTGTATTTTTTATCTCAGATATTGTTTTGTTCTATTGTAAAATTTGTTTGATTGTTTCTGAGGGCTAAGCTCCGGTTTTTTATCTTGCCCCATTTATTCTATTAATCCCAGGTCTGTAGACAAACTCAACCAATTGTCGACCAGAAAATGATTAAATTTACCTATCATCTGGAAGCACCATCTCCCATCCCCCTCAAATTGTTCTGCCTTTCTGGAACAAACCAGTGTATTTTTCAAATGTATTTGATTGATATCTCATGCCTCCCTAAAATGTGTAAAACAAAGCTGAACCCCAACCATCTTGGGCACATGTTCTCAGGACCTCCCAAGGGCTGTGTCATGTGCCATGGTCACTCACATTAGGCTCAGAATAAATCTCTTCAAATATTTGACAGAGTTTGATTCCTTTCATCAACATTTCTAAATATTTCTCCATCCTTGCTGAGACTTCTTATCTTTCCATTCATTACAACATATTTTCCTTTACCTCATTGAGCATAGTTATAATAACTGTTTCAAAATCCTTGTCTGATCATGCCAACATCTATATTATCTCAGGGTTGGCTTCCATTAATTGTCTTATTGTTTGCAAAAGACTGCATTTTTCCGGTTCCTCCTATGCTGAGTAATTTTGAATTGTATCCTGGACATTATTTCTATTATGTTGTAAACAGATGCTGTTTTACTACTGAGAATAGTGTCAATGTTTTTGTTGTGGCAGGCAATCGATTAAGTTGGTTCAACTCAAACTGCAAACTGACTCAACCTGTGGTTATAAGTAACTCACGTCTCAGCTGAGTTCTGACTTTAGCTGCAGACTGCTTTGTGTCTACCCCATAGGTGTGCTTCAGGGGTCAGCTAGATATCTAAACAAAGTTCATATTCAGAATTTGGGACATGACCTTCTCTGTCTCTCTGTTCTGGGATTTCCCCTCCTTCCAGTGACTGTATTGCTGCAGACTCTGCTCTCAGGTTGTTCAAGCCAAAAAGAAAAAAAAAAAAGATGGCTTTCTATTGTTTAGCTATTCTGTTAGTGACCTGCCCTCAGACTAACACATCAAAAACAGAAAACTTACCTCCTCTTAATGGCACCTTCTTCCAAGTTTCATCTTCCTCCAAAACTTGACTGCTTTCGTTCACTCTCTTTCGCCTTCAGGTACTTGTTTTTGGCATTTTGTTCAGAGTTGAATATTGCTATCTGAAGAGAGTAAGAAGTTACTTGGTCATATATGAAACAGAACTCTTTGGTTATACTTTCAATACTCTCCGTCCTCTTTTCCATTGGCACCCATTCCATACTAGTTATTTCTCAGAGTATTTCGATTCTTATTCAATACATGTATTTATGTATATATGTAGACTAGGAAGATATATAGCTATAAGTTAGTCTTTGTATTTAATTTACATTCATATTTTCTTAATTTTTTTATTCAAAATTGCTTTTTGAAATCTAATCGTGTTGCTATACATAAATATAGTTCATGATGTCTGAGAGCTGCACGCATTTCATTATATGAATATACAAATTTTCATTTATTGGTCTCCTAAATAAATTGGATTTATCAGCCAGGTGTGATGGCTCCCACCTGTAATCCCAGCACTTTGGGAGGCCAAGGCAGGCAGATCACTTGAGGTCAGGAGTTTGAGACCAGCCTGGCCAACATGGCAAATCTCTCTCTCTACTAACAATCCAAAGAATTAGCTGGGCATGGTGGTGGGCATCTGTAATCCCAGTTATTCGTGAGGCTGAGGCAGGAGAATGGCTTTAACCCAGGAGGTAGAGGTTGTAGTGAGCCAAAATCATGCCACTGCACTCCAGCCTGGGCGACAGAGTGAGGCTCTGTGTCAATAAAAAATAAATAAATAAATTAGATTCATCACTTTCCTAATATACCTAAATAGTCAATAACATTTTTATACATGCTTTCAATTTATACCCTTTGTCAAATTTTCTACTGGTTTTACTAACACTTTCTTTTTTATTTTTAGTAGCAACTTATATTTTCTAGATAACTTATTAGTTCTAAATGTTGCAAATATTTTGTCCCATTCTGCTGTTAACTTTGTCTATGATGTCCTTTATTAAATGAAACTTCTAATTTTGACATCATCTTTTTTTGTAGTTTGTATTTTGGGGATCATATTTAAGAAATATTTGGTGATGTGAGGTCGTAAGGAAATTATACATTTCTTTATATTAAACTTTTAGTTACAATATTCCTATTTAGGTCTTTAATTCATTTGAACCTGTAGTACGTAGTGTGTGACAGGAATCTTGGGGGTTTTGTCAATATAGTGAAACCATTTTCTTGATACAATTTACTAAACATAATTTTCGGATTTCTGATGTAACCACTAACCTATAATAAACTTTAAGTCTGCTTCCAAGGTATCTACTCCTTTTGATTGGTTTAATTGATATTGCACTTTACAATTCTATTTTATTTAAATAATTTACACTAGGGCTAGTTTTTTTTTAATAGTTTCAATTTATAGATGATTATATTCCCTAAAATTTTGGAATTAATCAGGTTTCCTCTCCCACCTAGAGAATTTAATTAGAAATACAGAAAAATTTTAAATTATTTTGAGAGAGAATTAACAACTTTATCATATTAAGCCTTACTACATTTCAAAGTGCTACATCTTTTCATTCATTCAGGTCTTTTAAAAATATCCTTAAAAGAGTTTTCAAAATGCCTCCATCAAGGACAGAGTTTCTTCTATTGTATTTTCTATCATTTAAATGCTTTTGATTTTGTGAGTTTGTTTTGTATTCATCTCCTTGCTGACTACCTTAATGCTAATAATTTGCTAACTCTGGTTTCTTTGCAGACAATCACAACACCTACAAAAAATAAAGAAAAGAAGGAGAAAAAGTCTGTTTCTCCCCCTATTCTTCTCCCACCTTGGATTTCTTTTCATTTATTTTATTGTTCAGGACTTCTAACATTATGTTGAACATTAATTCAGTTAATGGTGGCTGACATCCTTGTCTCCTTGACTTGTAAAATGTTTCAGGTTTCCTATCACTGAATTTTAATGCTAAACAAATGTTGAAATACATCAAATGCTTTTATTGCAACTGCCATCCCAATTAGATAAGTTTGAGGAGTGTAAAAAATAATGACATTTGTCCTTAATCCATTAATATATAAATTATACTACAAGATTTTTCACTTTAGAGCCATTTTTTACAACCCTGAATTCACCCATAATCAACCATGACAAATACACACACCTGTATATCTTTATCTACTCTACCTATATACCTTTATATGTATATACATATATGCACACAGAGAGAGAGAGAGAGAGAATTTTTTTTCAGAATAAACAATTTATTAGTTAGTCATCAATAAATGCCCCGGGTTTGGCACCAAGCACGTTCTTTTTTTTTTTTTCTTTAATTTTACTTTAGAATCTGGGGTACATGTGCAGCTCATGCAGGGTTGCTGCACAGGTGCATACTATATATGGCATTTCTCCCCATGTTTTCCCTCCCCACCCTTCCACCCCCCACTGTCCCTCCCCTAGTCCCCCTCAACTGCCCCCAGTGGGTGATGCTCCTCTCCCTGAGTCCATGTGTTCTCATTGTTCAACACCCACCTATGAGTGAGAACATGCAGTTTGGTTTTCTGTTCTTGTGTCAGTTTGCTGAGAATGATGGTTTCCAGATTCATCCAAGTCCCTACAAAGGACATGAACTCATCGTTGTTTATGGCTGTGTAGTGTTCCATGGTGTATATGTGCCACATTTTCTTTGTCCAGTCTATCATTGATGAGCATTTGGGTTGGTTCCAGGTCTTTGCTATTGTGAACAGGGCTGCTATGAACATACATATACATGTGTCTTCATAGTTTAAAGATTTATAGTTCTTTGGGCATATACCCAGTAATGGGATTGCTGTGTCAAATGGAATTTCTATTTCTAGATCCTTGAGAAATCACCACACTGTCTTCCACAATGGTTGCACTAATTTACACTCCCGCCAACTGTGTAAAAGTGTTCCTATTTCTCCACATTCTCTCCAGCATCTGCTGTCTCCAGAATTTTTAATGATCACCATTCTAACTGGCATGAGATGATATCTCAATGTGGTTTTGATTTGCATTTCTCTAATCACCAGTGACGATGAGCATTTTTTCATGTTTGTTGGCCTAACATATGTCTTCTTTTGAAAAGTATCTGTTCATATCCTTCGCCCACTTTTGAATGGAGTTTTTTTTTCTTGTATGTCTGTTTTACTTCCTTGTGGATTCTGGATATCAGCCCTTTGTCAGATGGGTAGACTGCAAAGATTTCTTCCCATTCTGTGGGTTGCTGGTTCACTCTAATGATGGTTTCTTTTGCTGTACAGGAGCTCTGAATTTTAATTAGATCCCATTTGTCTATCTTGGCTTTTGCTGCCATTGCTTTTGGTGTTTTAGTAATGAAATCCTTGCCTATGCTTATGTCTTGGATAGTTTTGCTTATGTTTTCTTCTAGTGTTTTTATGGTGTTAGGTTTTATGTTTAAATCTTTAATCCAACTGGAGTTAATTTTAGTGTAAGGTAACAGGAAGGGGTCCAGTTTCTGCTTTCTGCACATTGCTGGCCAGTTTTCCCAACACCATTTATTAAACATGGAGTCCTTTCCCCATTGCTTATTTTTGTCAGGTTTGTCAAAGATCAGATGGTTGTAGATGTGTGGTGTTGCTTCTGAGGCCTCTGTTCTGTTCCATTGGTCTATGTCTCTGTTTTGGTACCAGTACCAAGCTGTTTTGATTACTGTAGCCTTGTAGTATAGTTTGAAGTCAGGTAGCGTGATGCCTCCAGCTTTGTTCTTTTTGCTTAGGATTGTCTTGGCTATACGGGCTCTGTTTTGGTTCCATATGAAGTTTAAGGTGATTTTTTCCAGTTCTGTGAAGAAGGTAATTGGTAGCTTGATGGGGATAGCACTGAATCTATAAATTACCTTGGACAGTATGGCCATTTTTACGATATTGATTCTTCCTAACCGTGAGCATGGAATGTTTTTCCATCTGTTTGTGTCCGAGAGAGACAGAATTTAAAAGTCATGTCCCTGAGTAAAATGGGCCCGTACTTTTCTTGTATTATACTTATCTAGTTTCAGTATAAAATATATTCCTACCTCGTAAAATTGATTGGATTGTTTTTCCTGATTATATAAGTTAGGGATATGTGTACTTTCCAGTAAAAGATCTCAGCCTGTGACTTGTTGAGGTGGGGAAAATGGAAAAACGTTTATCATTGTGATGGTGATATTCTTATTCTTACTGTTAATTATATATTTCATGATTATTTTCTATTTTTTATTCCTTATTGTAATGTAAGTTTTTAATGTTTTCCAGAGATATAAAAAAAGGTCCTTTTGAAGGATTTTGTGTATTTGCATCTCTATGTCTTGGTTGGCATTGCCAACAATTTGTCTTTTGGTTTTGCCAAAGTTTTTTCAACTTCAACTTGGATTCTGTTCATCTTTTTTAAATGATATCTCATTGTCTTGTTTCTCCTCTCTTTTGGCTTACTCTGCCACTTTGTTACCAATCACAAGGGTTTTACTTTGTTACCAGTTGCAAGGGTTTTATTTATTGCCTGATGCTGGGGTGCAGTGCAGCCAGGCCTAAATTTTTTTTTAAAAGCTTTATATGTGTTCTAAAGTGTGAGAGGGGTTGACAGTTACTGGTCTATAAGCATTCTTCTCAAATCTATCTGATACTAAGATTGCTTTTGAGGCTTTTGGAGAGCATATACTCCTGGACGACATAATTTAATAATTATGACTCATTAGATCTAGACTGCAGCCTGTGAGTCCATATTTTTAAAAAAGCTTGGCAGGTGTTTCTGACTACCAGCAAGATTTGAAAATCACTGAATCTGAGTGCCTAGAAAACACTGTATAGTGCCAAAAGTATAAGTGACCTCTAAGGCTGTAGTGATTTCTAAGGTAGAAGTTAAGAGATGTTTAGATGGTTTGGGGGAATTTGGGGATACCCAGCAATACAGGAAGAGGAGAAAATATTAGTAAAGAGCAGGAGCTGAAAGGAAGTTCAGCTCCTAAAAAAGAAAGAAGTCTTATCAAGACATCAAAAGCAAGGGAGGGAGTAGCAAGAACTAGAGTTAAAAATAGGCTACAGACAAAGCTATATTACAAATGGACTTTTGTAATATAGCTTTACAAGAGTTACAAGAAGCCATTGAAGGGGTTTAAACAGGAAGGTGCTGCTGGTTTAGCTACAGAAGAGAAAATTAAATGGAGAGAAAGCAGGACTGACTTCCTTGAAGTCTGAAGACAGTCATCATCCTTGAGGTGACCACTATAATCCAGGAGATAAATGATGGTGACTTCAACTATGATACAGTTGGAGAGGAAAAGACTATTAGGGATGGGTAAAAGATATGGATGTGACTGGATGTAAGGCATATATGAAAAGAAAGAGTAAACTTATCATCACCAATTTATTGCTCATAAGTATTCTCTGAGCTATATATTTTGCATTGAATATATTTATCTACAACTGTTCAGACATTCTCTAAAATATGGAGGTAAAGATATAAATGTTTATATTTTATTCAAAATTGTCACAGTTTAAATAATATTGATAATAATGTATAATATATAATAATAGTAATGACATCTCCTTTCCTTGTTTCTCTTCTCTTTTGATTTACTCTGCCACTTTGTTAGAAAATATTCAGTCTGGTAACAAACTGAATTCAATTATACAAATATACACTGTAAACAAATATTCAAACTCATAATAAGTGAAAATGACTAGACAGGTTAATTTCATAGTAGATCACAATCCTTGTTATTTCAGATTTGGTCTGCTCTAAACTTATCCATCTCCATCCATTACTGGAACAACTCCACAAACTCCTTATTCCCTAAAACACCACTCATACCATTAAAGTCACTAACAGAGACTGAACTGAGAATAAAGGAAATCATGGAGAAACTAGACCAGCAGATCCCACCCAGACCTTTTGACCACATGAACACCACCACCAGCGCCACACACAGCACAGCCACCATCCTCAGCCCTCGAGACACGTACTGCAGAGGGGACAATCTGGACATCCTGCTGGAGGTGAGGGACCACTTGGGACGCAGGAAGCAATATGGCGGAGATTTCCTGAGGGCCAGGATGTCCTCCCCAGCCCTGATGGCAGGTGCTTCAGGAAAGGTGACTGACTTCAACAATGGCACCTACCTGATCAGCTTCACTCTGTTCTGGGAGGGCCAGGTCTCCCTGTCTCTGCTGCTCATCCACCCCAGTGAAGGGGCGTCGGCTCTCTGGCGGGCAAGGAACCAAGGCTATAACAAAATTATTTTCAAAGGTAAATTTGTTAATGGCACCTCTCATGTCTTCACTGAATGTGGCCTGACCCTAAACTCAAGTGCTGAACTCTGTGAATATCTGGATAACAGAGACCAAGAAGCCTTCTACTGTGTGAAGCCTCAACACATGCCCTGTGAGGCTCTGACCCACATGACCACCCAGAATAGAGAAGTGTCTTATCTTACTGACAGGGAAAAAGGCCTTTTCCACAGGTGAGTATTTTTCAAGTATACTGAGAAGTGTCTCACTGAGAAGTACCCCAGTCAGAGCTACACTGCCCATTGCAACACTGAGCATGACTCTCAGAGGCCTCTACTCAAGGTCAGACATGTGGTGTCTTCACAGGGCCTCTACACACCACTCTGTGCCAAAGTTTGCATTTTCACTATATTCTCCCATCAGTCATGTGTTTTGCTATAACTATTCTTCTATGTATTCACAGATGTTCCATTGAAAAAAGATTCTTTGATAAGTGTATGATAACATCCATGCTCCTTCTCCTCCCATAATTAATTTTGTTAATTTTGCCTCTTAAATATCTTTGCGTTGATCCATTTCCCCCATGTACAGTGCTGCTATTCAAGTTCAGACCAACATCATCTCATCTAGATTACTTATTCCAGCTTCCCAACTGGTCTCTGTCCCAGCAGTCATACCCTCTCTAATCCATTTTCTACACTGAGTAATCTTCCTCAAAAGCCAATTCCTACTGGTTATCTCCAGTTGATCCCATGATCAGATATTCTTCAGTATATACCTCTCAGGGTAGAGGAGTCCTTCTTACTCCCCATGTTGTGACCTACTCATCCCCGTGAGCCCCTGGTTCAACAGCCCTCCACAAACCGGGTAGAAGCATGTTTCCTCTATCAATCACAGCTGCGGCAATCCCAGGCTTTTCTCTCCTGACTTACAAACAGATGCTCACTTCTTGGTTTTCCTTTTCCCCCACTAAGCTGAAAACTACTTTGTGGATTAGAATGAACCATCAGTGACTCTTCATGGGCCACTTTGAGGATTTGTAAAGGGTGAGTATCTGTTATCATAAATTCCAGAGCTGTGAGCCAAGCCATAAAACGTCTATCAGTTGCAGAGACTTTTGCTCATTTGCTAACTTTACATAAGTCTCAGAGGCTCGGTCTATTTCCTTTTCTCTTTCAATTCTGCCCAGTACCCTTTTTTTCCCACAAAGATTTACTTTTCCTAAGATTGGTAACAAAGTAGAATGCTAGGTTCACAGCAATCCCTTTCTACCAGTTTTCAAAGTCAAGCTTAGTCTTTTTTTCCATAAGCTTTCAAAAAAAAATATGGTAAGAGTGGGCACCAAACATGACAAAATAACATGCATTCCAGAATCTTACCTCATTATCCAAGTTTTGGCTCCTGATCTATAGTCCCTGGATCCCTTCTGAAAAGTAAAAGCACAGTTAAGTTTCTGTTCCTTTCCTTTTATCTCTGATGGTACAGCTCATCAAATCTCTTCCTACCCACCAACCATCCCTATGCCTAAATCCTAGTAAGGATGAAAACATGCTGATCTTTTCTCTTCTCAGTATGGCACCTGAAAAGACATCCATAGCAGGGAATCAGGTACCACTTATATCTGTTATAGTTGGCACCTGGGTCCCCATTCTCCCCTTAATCCCTTTCTTCCTTCCTCCGCTTACATGGCCATATACACAGGTTTGAAACAAAGTGTGAGTAAGAGCTTTCAAGCAGGAAGAGTCATCTTTCATCAATTGGAGGAAAGAAATGTAAGGTACATTGATTAACACAACAGATTCAACACTACTTTCTGCCAGCCACTTTGATAGGTATTAAGGATACAGCAGTGGACCAGACACATGCACTACCTTCCTTCCTAAATCTTACGATCTTCAGAAAGCAAGTTTGTCGAAAAAGTCAAAGATAATCATAGCAGGAAATGTGGATTAAAAAGGGAAGCAGAGGCCCTCTGATAAAAGGTCTACATGCCACTCAAAAAGGCTGGATCCCTTGGGTACATGATGGGGAGACAATAAAGGGATGTAAGCAGTAGTGCAGTTGCATTTGCAATGAGAAAGGGTACTCTGCCAGTCAGATTGAAAGATTTAGGTGGAATAAAACTGAGGTTTACATGACCAATTAGAAGCCCACAGTAATCCAAGGAAACTATTCTGCAAACTGGAATAGGAGATATGGACGCAGAAAGGGAGAAGAGAACTTGTAAATTAGATAAATATTTTGAATCTAAAATTCCAGGACACACTGATTACATGTGGCAGATCAGTAGAGCTGCCCTGGACTTCAGGTGCTCTCAGCAGGGTAGAAAGTCTTCCAAATTCCTTGTTCATTTACAATACCCAATATATCTAAAATTTACAACAATAATAATAGCTTCTGGTTATAGGAAATTAAAAATTTTCCTTCACTCACAAGTAGGTGAGTCACCTGTGTTACGTGGGGAGAGAGCAGGCTAATTTATTGTTCTATTTTTTTTGAAGGTCCAAAGTAGGAGTTGAAATTATGAAGGACGGTAAACACATTGATGTCGTCGAATGTAACAGTAAGTCTGCTCTGTCCTGAGTTAGATGATGCTCAGAGGAAATTTTATCAGCATTAATCCAAGTAATTGTAGTTTTCCTGGAGCACAATTCCTAGCAGGTGTCTAAGATGTCAATCATGCTGGACTTTAAAGGGAGAAATGAACTCAAAGAAATTATTTCAAAATTTTTATAGGAGATTTCATCTTGACATATCCAAAAGGAAAAAGTGTTATTATCCTATATTTATATTTAAACCTGAGAGTTCATCTCCTAGAGTCTAAGGCACTGTCCAAAAATCTTTGAAAGATGAATACCTACAGCTTCAGAGTAGGAAAACTTTGGATTTTGGTTTCCTAACCCTCTGTTGGCAAAACCTCCTAACATTTAGTTGATGCAATTACCAATGTTAGATGGAGTTTTTATCTCATTATGTTTTAAAGACAAACACAAAGCCATGCTACTGATGAAAGAATAGTTAGGCTACCTTAGCTTTAAAATAACTTTTTATAAAGTCTTAGTTTACCCATAACATCCATCATGATATTTACTTCAACTCATAATAATTTATTGCCACCATTTATTCATTTATTCTGCAAATGTTTATTTATTTATTTTTCCTCATATCATATGGGTAAAGTGCTGATGTCATAACATGGTTGGAGGGAGGCACATCTCACACATGAGCATGAAAACCCAGTCATCATGCTTCTGAACTACAAAAGGATCAGCAAACATTTATCAAGCATTGAACAGGTATCAGGCATTATGGGCAAATGGAGAAAAATAAATGGTCAGTTTAGCGTGCATTGTGAAATACATTCAACATACCAACTTTATGAAGAAAGTAAAAAGGCAAAGGAGCTTATGTTAAACTTGGTATTTGACTGAGTCCTGAAGGATATGTGTAGGCAGAGAATGAAGAAGAGAAATCTCATAAACAGCATGAGTAGTGTTGCTGGATTTAAGTAAATAATAATAAAGGGAATCAAATGAATTTGAGTAATTTCTAATTGCCTGTCATATATACATTGAGAAAAGGGGGAAATATTGCATGGGCCATACTTACACTAAATAATTATCCCTTGTTAGAAGTAATACAAATTTAACATGGTGTCCTGTATTTTTTATCTAACTCTTTTTATCTGGTAATTCCAGTCATGAGCAAAGTCATCATGGACTTTATTGTGGAATGTAGCAGAGGATAAGCCCAGAAAGAGAGAAAGAACCTAATCATGAAAGTTCTTAAGTGCCAGGCTGAGGATCTCAGAGATTATTCAGTAGATTTGAAAGCCACAGAAACCAACTGAGAAAAAGAGTGGTATGATCCACTTTGTGCTTTAAAAGGCAAATTCACAATTTAACAAAATGCATGCTCTATAGAAAGGCAATTTAACATTGTCACTAAGGAATATAAAATAAATTTCATATAAATAGAAGGAAAAAACACTGTCTCTGGATGGGATGACCTTATATTTAAAAGAATGTCAGTTATCTATGGATCATTTTCTTGTTGCTGCTATAATAAAGTGGCTTTAAAAAGCAAAAATATATCATCTTATAGCCTGTAGTCCAGCAGTCCAACATCAGTCTCACTGAGCTGAGCCAAGGTAGAACAGGAGCATGTTCCTTCCTGGAGACTCTAGGGGTGAACCTGTTCCTTTGCTTATTCTAGGTTCTTAAGGCTTTCCACAGTCCTTGTATCCCTCTTCCTTTATCTTCAAAGTCACAGCAGAGGGTCAAGTTGTCCTGACACATCTTTGACCCACTCTTCTGCCTCCCTCTTCCACTTTTGAGGACCAGTGACATTGGATTGGGCCTACCCACATAATCCAGGATAATCTCTCCATCTCAAAGTCCATACCTTAGTCATATCTGGAAAGTCCCTTTTGCCACGGAAGGCAACATATTCATAGGTTTTAAGAATTGGGGATGTGGATATCTTTGGGAGACTATTAGTCTGCCTATCTAATCAAAAATATAATGGAATCTGTTTTTCAATGGGCAGGTCTATGCAAACCTACTCCCAAAGTTTGAGGAAGCTGAGAAGCCAAAGAAGAGGCTGACACATCCAGTTTCTCAGAAAGAAACATTTAATAGGGAGTTAGAAGCAGAAGCCATGTTTATGTCTCCATTGGTGAGACAAGATGGTGGATCTCCACACCATTACTGCCAGACCCAGGGCTTACAGAGCACAAGGGAAGGGTGGCTGAGGTGGGATGTACAGGACAATTGAAGTAAAATGCCAGCAAATCTTACCTTGTTGGCCTAAGGTCAAGATTTATGGTAAGTACCTGCTGTTATGCAAGAAACAATAGTTAAACTGGAGTTAATCAGAAGCCAACATGGCGAATTAACTTCTAAAATGGAGTTGCTTTTGCTGATATATGGAATCCTGATATTATATTACCCACATACTGTTCAAAATACTCAAGCCTATTCTAAAATTATTAAGTAAAATAAACGTGTAAGAGTAATCATAAGCGAATTTGTTATAAGTTTGAAATAGTGCTTCAGGGAGTTTGAGATGTGGCAAAATGAATACCCTGACACATAAAGATTACACAAGATATGGCTTACAACCATGAACTTAAAGGCTATGTTCTTAGCAAAGTGTGCCAGTACATTATGAGGACAAAGAATACTTAACGCTATGAATCTCAAGTTTCCAGGGTCATGGTATTCCGTCATCCAGGGTGCAATGCCATCAAGCCTCATAGAAATCCATCCACATCACACTGTAATTCTAACATAATTACAGGATTATACAAATTCCCTTTACTAAGCCAAATCACCAGGACTTAAGAGCTATTTCAGATGCACTTTCCAATTCTGCCACCAGCACCAATTTACCACTTTGTCCACAGGTTACAAATACAATACAATCATGTAGCGATGTACTATGCCATGAACACAGGCAGCCAGAGACAATAAGGCCTTTGAGGAACTAAGCAAAGAGAGTAAAACAGAGACTGCTGATGGTTCCCCAGTATCCACTGCCTCCTCCTTCTTTAGTAATAGATACCAGTTTGTGGCTAGACCCATGGCCATCCTTCCTTATAGCTAGTTGTGGCCATAACTAAATTTTTTTCCAGAAGTGTGAGTGGGAAACTTCTAGGTCAACCTTTAAAAGCAAAACAATTGGCCCTCCCTATCCATTTCTTCCTTTACTACTAGCTGGATTTTAGATATAATGTGAGAAGGGAAAGAGCCAGGTTAGACCATGAGATTGAAGCCATGTGGTAAGAATGGCAGAGCTATAACACAGAAGCAACAGGCATCCCTGCCACCATGCAATGGTATATTAGCCCTGGCCTTCTCACTCCAGGCTTGTTAAGTGAGACAGAAATAATCTATTTTTAACTCATTATTACCTTGGTCTTTCCTACAGCATTCAAATCGGTTTCCTATGTCATACCAGAATGTAGTATCAGTACAGAAGTCCTGATGTAACAAATTCTAAAATTGAAGGCACTGGCTCAGTGATGGGGTAGCAGCACAGAGAGTAGCAAAGAATCACAACAGGAGAAATCTGATAACCTTCGTCATGACATAACAAGACGTTTGCTGCACTGCTCCCTATAAGAGAAGGCAGACCATGTGCAAACAGAACCTGAAACTCTAGTGAAACTTCCTGGAATATCTCAAAATATTGGTTTGTACTGAATGCTACATGTTGCATTTGGCAAAGTCTGGTTTTTAATAAAGTAAGTCCAACCAGGTGATTATTATACCATTTGAGGTTTTTATTTTTAATGTACATATTTTAAGCCATTTTTTGAACATGGAAAAATTAAGATTATTCATTCTTTCATTAATGAAACAAAAGTAAAGAATTTGATATAACAACTGGCAGACAACTAACATCTTTCAGGTTAGAGACAAACACAGACATCGCTACAGAATCAGGAAGAAAGGACAGAATGCCAAAGAAAGGATGAAATGCCAAGACTTAGCTAATGACCAAATTTAGGAGAAAAGGAATAGGCAGGAGGCAAGATGACTCAAATTCTCTCAAAAGAGTAAGTAGAAGTGCCTGAAGCAAAGCTAATGATCACAGAGTAGTACTAGAAAGGGATAGAAATAGAAAACAGACATTACAGGAAGGAGGAAAGAGCGATGGAAGGAATGATGAAGAAAGAAGGCTAGATGTCTAACTTATTACAATAAAATCATTTACAAGTGTCTCTGTTACCAGAGAGTGAAAAGATAGAAGAGAAATGCCAAGTTGGAATGAAGCCTCCTGTCCCTGGTGGTTATACTTTACAATGAAGGTGGATAACAACATTTTGCAACCAGATTCAGTTTGACACAATTAAGATGAATGACTGCCTGAAAGGCAAGCTCATTTACCTCCTGGGAGACTCTACGCTACGTCAGTGGATCTACCACTTACCCAAAGTTGTAAAAAGTGGGTAGTTACTTTATATTCTCTTTGAAATTCAGGCTGGTTTTAAAGTACTTTTAATGAGGTCTCTACTCTCTCGTTTGAGCTATTTTGTTTTTTACTTCATTTAGCTTTCTGGATTTGAGCCTTTACATTTAAAATGTATTTGATTCCCTCTTTCATAAGAGATGTTGGTCCTCTTTTAAAATTCCAATGAAAACTTTATATTTTTGATTCACATTTTACATGTATGAACTGGTACTCTACCCTAGGGAGTGGAAAGACTCCAGTGAGCAATTATTTAGGTGGGTGGGTATTTTAAGGGATATGACATTCTTTTCCATGAATATTAACCATCAACTTCTATTCAAAACAACTATTTCTTTTTATCAGCACTGCAGTTTTTTGATCTTCATGAAACTGGAATTTTTAAGAAACATTTGCTTCTGGATGCAGCAAGACACACTCTGATTCAATGGAAAAAACACAGCCATCCCTTCATCACTTTCCAGCTCTACTCTCTGATAGATCATAATTATATCCCTCGGGAAATTGACCTGCTATCAGGTGACAAAAACACAGCCATCGTCATCACCTTTGGCCAGCACTTCAGACCATTTCCCATTGACATTTTTATTCGCAGGGCCATCGGTGTCTGAAAGGCTATTGAAAGACTGTTCCTAAGAAGCCCAACCACTAAAGTGATTATTAAGACAGAAAACATCAGGGAGATGCACATAGAGACAGAGAGGTTTGGAGACTTCCATGGTTATATTCAATATCTTATCATGAAGGATATTTTCAAAGACCTCAACATGGGCATCATTGATGCCTGGGACATGACCATTGCATATGGCACTAATACTATCCACCCGCCTGATCATGTGATTGGAAATCAGATTAACATGTTCTTAAACTACATTTGCTAAGGGGTAAATATCATACAAAATCACTAAGAACAAATCTCTGTACATAACCCCACATGTATTGTAAAGTAAATTTTATTCATTTTAGGAACGGAGGAAAATAAATTTAAAAGAATCCGTTTTGGGAGGAAGGATATATAAGGACAATGACAACCAATATGGGATGCAAAACCAAGAGAATCACACATGAAAAAATATACCATGCTGGTTCTGGTGCTTGTTTAAAACATTAAAAAAGTTTTTTAAAAGCCATGTTGTTAAACTGATTTGAAAATATCTGTACAAATTCATGATGCTTTCCATTTCCAATATAGATATTTTGTAGTTCTGTCTATTGAAAAGGCCTGGAAGCAATGATAACCCATTAGTAACAATCACTCTTAGTACCCTGACCGTGGTCTCTAAGAACCCTTCCTCAGTAAAAGAAAACAGGTATTCCTGAAGAAAAGGCTGATTCTAGGACTGGAACAGAAAATACATATACCATGAGCCTGGACATCTTGCTATGCCAGAAAGCAAATAATCAAAGATAAACGGAATCATATCATGGAACAGAGGAAGTAACCCAAAGGAGTCTCTTCATTGGCCATAGGTAGATTAGTTTAAGCATCAAAAAGACTAATGACTGCAGTTAATTGAAATACATAGTATACAAAATCCATGAGCTCATAATAATACTAAAAGAGATATTCAAGAATAAAAACAAAACCTCTCATGTGTCATAAGTGGAGCTGGGTAAATCCTTATTTTGAAAATTGGCAATGAAAGAGAAATACATGAACATTTATCCTCCTTCCTGTTACAGAGAAAACCAATAACCCTAATAGATAAGTGAAAGTTCTTCTTTGTGGGAGAATTATAGGTAATGAATACAGAAAGAGTGACAGAATTAGGAAATCACCATTTTAAAATTTCTAATTAGATAAGTAAGTAAGGCAGAGATCATCAGTGAATGAACTTTTCTTAAAAGTCTGATTGGAACTTTATATGGATATAGCAGCCTATCATTTCTGAATCCACTGATCAAACTTAGCTTTATTAAGAGCTAGGCAACCTGTCATTATGTCCTGCATGATTTGATACAATGTAAAGTATATAACACCACCTATGAAGGAGTATTCTTGCAATGCTTGTTCCCCTAGATAATTTCATCCAATGGCTCCAAAATTTTTACAGGTATTGATCGACTTACCACCTATGCAACTTAAGACCATTCGGCTTTACGACCACAATCGCTAGCCACGACTGCTCCGTGTCTGGCAGTGCAAACATTGCCCAGCTGGGCGTACGGCAGTGCGGACCAGCTTCTGACAGCACTACCATCTCCATGTGCACCATTTCAACTGTACATATAGCCTACTCAACTTACGAGCAAATCCTGTTACTACCAGTCCACAGTCCCGACCGTGTTCGTAAGTCGAGCACTGGCTGTATTTTCAGCTTTCCAGTCTAAGACCAACTTTGCATGAAACATCTCCCTTTCCAATTGACAGACCTCAAATACATCACATTAATGCCAAAAGCAATATCTCCTCTCTACCAAATTTTCACCTCTTTCTGTGATTCCATTTCTTGATCAATGATATTAGTATCCACTTAGTTTTCAAAGCTGGAAAACCATATTTTGTTTAAATAAACAATTACTGTCATCTACTCTGTGCCACATGCTTGTTAGCCAATTTTTATACAAAGGAATGGGGCAAAAAGACCATCATCCTTAATCTAATGGAGAAGACCAAGCAGGTAGATTCAAAGCAATGCAATATAACAAGAGTCAAGACGTTATAGAAACACAGAAACAAACAAAACCTGAACTCTACGATAGAGAGAAGCTATGAAGTTTTATACAGGAAGTATTACCTGGACTCATTCATGAAGAATGAGAGAATCAAGTTGACAAGAAGGAAGGAGCGGGAGAAGTAGGACAATCTTGTTGACAAAAGTCTCATTCAGGAAATGGCAAGAATTATGAACCTTTAGTGACAAAAAACAAATGCAGAGAGTTAATGAGAAGGAAATGGGGAGGCAGCACCCAAATTAGGAAAGATTTATATGACATGCTAAGGAATGTGGGCTTTATCCTAAAAGTAAAGGGGAGTGGTTAAAGAATCATAATACAGACAGGACATGATTACATTTGCCTCTCAGAAAGAGAAATGAGGCAAGATATTTATGGCCAATGTGGCGTAATGAAAACAATATGAAGATTGAAGTCAGACCTGGTTTTGAATTTTAGTGTCTTCACTTACCAACTCAGCCAATTTAGGAATTTAATCTCTAAACTTCAATTTCTTCAATATTAAATTCAAAGCATTAAATTATATGATATATGGAAAATGTTTACCTAGTTCTAGCACATGGTAATATTCAATAATTTTTCCCTTGAGGCTCAATGAGAAGTTTCCATGATACCTACAAATTTGACACAAATAACTTGAAGGAGAACTCTAACATTCACTGAAGAAAATAAAGGGGAAGGAAGATATTGGGGAAAAGGATAAAATGAATTTAGGTTTTAGTTATAATGAAGTGAAGGTTCCCATACAAATATCAAAATGCAGATGTCTTGTAGATAGAATATGAGTCTGAATTCAGGAGAGAGGTTTATAAGAAAGATGCTCAATTTGGAAGTCACCAATATATATATAGGTGGTTGCTAAAGATGAGGATATGTTAATATTTTCTCATACACAAAGGGAACTCTCATACACTTTTGGTGGGAATGTAAGTTGGTACAGTCATTATGGAAAACAGTATGGCAGTTCCTCAAAAAATTAAAAATAGAACTACCATATGACCTGGCAATCCCTCTGCTGAGTATCCCAAAGGAAATGAAATCAGCACTTCACAGAATATCTACATTCTCATGCTCAATGTAGCATTATTCACTACAGCAAAGATGTAGAAACAACATAAGTGCCCATCAATAGATGAACAGATAAATAATTGTGGCATATATGTACAATGGAATATCATTCAGCCTTATAAAAGGAGATGCTCCTATATTTGCAATAACATGGGTGAACCTGGAGGACGTTATGCTAAGTAAAATAACAATATTGAAGGAAAGAAATAATACTGAAAGAAAAATATTGCTTGATCTCACTTATATATGAAACTTAAAAATTACACATAGAAACAGAGTGGAATGGTGGTTATCCAGGCTGGGAGGAAGAGAAAATGGGAAGCTGTAGGTCAAAGGGTATAAACTTGCAGTTCTACTGGATGAATGTCTAGAGAGCTAATGTACAGCATGAGGACTATAGTTAATATTGTATACGGAAAATTTGCTGAAAGACTAGATTTTAGGTATTCTACCTCAATAAAAAGGTAATTGTGCAGTGAGGAATATGTTAATTTCTTGACTATAGTGATCATTTCACTATGCATATGTATATCAAAACATCACACTTGTATGCCTTAAATGTATGTGATTTTAAAAATACATACATAAAATTTCTTTTAAAAATATCCCACACACAAGACAAATATGTGTTCAAATACATCAGTCTCTCAAGCCTTTGCACCACTCTACATGCTGCTCCTTCTGACTAGAAGGTCCTCCTGCCCCTCCTTCCACGTGTCAAACTCCCCATCACCCTTTAAAACCCAGTTTGAATTTTATTTCTTCTGTGAAGCTTTCCCTGACACCCCCAGAAAGAATAATGTTTCCTGGCCAGGTGCAGTGGCTCATGCCTCTAATCCCAGCATTTTGAGAGGTGGGTGGATCACCTGAGGTCAGGAGTTCGAGATCAGCCACGCTAGTCTCGAACTCCTGGCCAACAAGGTAAAACCCCATCTCTACTAAAAATACAAAAATTAGCCAGGCATGGTGGCAGGTGCCTCTAGTCCCAGCTACTTGAGAGGCTGAGACAGGAGAATTGCTTGAACCTGGGAGGCGGAAGTTACAGTGAGCCGAGATTGCGCCACTGCACTCCAGCCTGGGCGATGGCATGAGAGTCCATCTCAAAAAAAAAAAAAAAAAGAATGTTTCCACAGTGTTTTTGCATTTGCTCCATAATAGAAACAGAAACATGTATTTTTAAAAGTATCTGTCATCTCTAATAGATTGTAAACATCTTGAGGAAAGAGACTAAGTTTTGTTTCTTTTTCCCCCCAAAGAGAAATTTATTAAAACATTTACCATCTCTTTAGAAAGAGATTTTACCATTTCTTTAGAAAGCGCCAGAATTTACAACTGAGAATAAGTGTTAATGAAATAAGAACCAATAAGAGGAAAGCATATGAGGCTGAAAGTTACTTTATTATTCATACTAATTTAATAGGCTCACAGAATGAATCCTTTTACCAAATTAGGGGGGAAGTATTTTCTGTAAAGTACCTTTAGAAAAGTACGCATGCTTTGAAAAATGGTTATCAAAATTTAACAACTGTCATATAAAATGTTCATAAAATGTGTGTGGATGTGCCTCTCAAGATTGTGGAGTCAATTCTGTTAACCCATCTGCAACCTTGGTCACATTATGCGTGGACATCCTGGTTTTGTTCTTGGGGTTCTTACCAATGGTTGTGGTCTTATAAGAAAAGGAAATCTGGAAATCTTGTCCCTGTTATTAACATGCATGTCATAACTAATAAGAATGGTTTGTTGGTATGCTAAACAGATTGTAAAAGCTGCCATTTTGCATGAGATTGACTAGGGTAATACTTCTTTATAGCATGAATGTGTAAATGTTCAAAATTTCACAGTAAACTCAAGAAATTAATTTCTAGTTCTCTCATCTTGTATCCAATGTAAGTGCAAATTAATTTCCATTGACCTTCCTGGCTGAGGTAAGTAAATTTGCAAACATAGAGTATAAAAAGAATAGAGAAAAAAAAGCTTCATTTTTATTCCCCAAAAACATTTCTGCTAATTCACAGCCCTTCCCTGGATGAGTCAAGATTTTTGACACTCTCAGGTGTCACCACAGAGCAAAAGATACCTCAGTGCAAAGTGATGGTCTCCCCAATTCTCAATTCCCCCTTCTATCTATTCAATTTCCAACAATTAAGATTTCAAATTCCAAATATATCCAAAAGATCTTCAGACATCCGGACAAGAACCCCATTCACAAAAACAAGGTACCCTTACATACAGTAAGAACATTCCCTTTTTGTCAAGGTTTATTTTACCGGTCTTCACCTGAGGCCAGTAGCTGGCAGCATCTTCTTTAAAGATAGAGTTTTCCTTCATTGAAATATTCCATGTGGCCCCTTGGCTGTCTAGGCATGTTTTACAGCCTAAAGGTATAACACTTAGAGCACAGCGCAATGGCTGTGGGCTGAACGTGCTGATTCTAAAGTTTTCTACCTCTCAGCAGATCTCAAGGCAGATGCTGAGCACAGTGATTCCCGCCACTGCTCCTGGTCTCTAAGCCTGAATTGTGTTAATTGCAGCTCTTGGTATGGAAAATGGAGTGCGGGTGTGAAGATGAACACCAAATAGCAGGGAGGCACATTCAACCCTATATTGATACCTGGAGTGTGGGAACACTTGGTTCCATCATCGCATACTGCAGAGCCTGCTCCAACCTCACAGGAGGCCAAGACATCGAGGCGCCTAAGCAACTTGTGAACTTTTTCCCAGCATTCCTAAGAGTCACATCCATGGCGTGTGCCTCCTCCTGGTACTTGTGTGGCTATAACAAAGAGGAGGATTCACAGATGCAAAGCTGTGGGAGCAGAGCCACCAGGTGCAGCTGGGGCCTCTGTTGGGGCATGGTTTACGAAGGCCGCTAAGTGCTCTGTGTGCCACTTTGGTGTCAGCTTCCCACCAAGCCTCCTTCTCCCCCTACTTCCTGACCCCCAACCTCTTGTTTCTCTATTCTCCTCCAATCCACCAGAGTGGAGGAAGCATCCTCCATGGAGATGCACAGCTGTGACCCCAGCTCTATCCTTGGAGCCATTTTATTCATCCTTGGTCCTTAACACTGGGCCCAGCACATAGTAGAAGCAATAAATATTTGTCAAATAAGTGATGCTGTATCTCTGTATATCTAGAACATGACATAAAACAGAAGATAAATGGTAGTGTCCATAAAAAAGGGTCACAGCACATTTCAGAAATTAACCAAAAATAAATATTCCATGAATTGAGAGAAGGAAGAATCAAAATAAAACAGAATAGCACCTTGATCATCTACGAACAAGAGACCAAAATGTTG